CATCAATTAATGAATTGAAGAAAAAAAATCCGACCCTCCCTTCATTGAGCGAATACTTTTGGCAAGTACGTGGATTACCAAAGAGGTAATAATAGCATTCCTGACATTGCAACAATGACAGCATTATTTTAAAGTATTGTCCCTAAAGGTAGCCTGCTGAATAAGCTATTTATCCTTGTCTGGGAGGACAAGGCCTTTCAATATCCCCATGCATAAGAAAAGAATAGGCTGGGGCTGTAGTCTGATTTCAAGAAAGGAAAACAATTTTGGGACAGTTCAAAATAATGCTGGGAAATGGAAATTCAAATGATACCGTTTTAAAAACCAGTAATTAGATATGATTTTAGGACAAGAATCAGAAGATAATTCATTGCTCGACAGTCTAATTGATTGTATTTAAAACAGAGTATCTAATATACCTGATATGTAATAGTACACTGTCAATTAAAACAAATAACTAAATAAACAAACAAATATAGACCTCTTGACCCAAGACTGTGGGTTTTTATTGTTGAGCACTATTTAATTTTGCTCGGGTATACAGGCAAGGTGGGGTGAATGCTTTCAAATGTAAAAGGCCCTTTGTCTCACCTCGTGCAAGATTAGGGCGCTTTTATTAAATTTATAGAAGGAGTAAAACACCGTTCATTGCATGCATGCTACAAATAAGTTGTATACAGACTGGAAAAGGATAGTACGGGACAGTAGAGAGTGATTTAAACGAGGAAATTAGGATTGAAAATGTAAAAAAAACCTTGTTGACCTGGCAATAAGAGCTAGGCTCTTGAATCTTGTTTTAAAAATGGACATGGCTCTGTGGCTACCGCTACCGGCCGCAGGCCAGCTAGCTGACGACCGCCAGCTAGCTGACGACCGCCAGCTACCCCCCCCCCCCCAAAAAAAAAAAAAATAAATAAAAATAAAATAATAATAATAATTAAAAAAAAATAATTAAAAAAAAATTGTATCAATCAATTAAAAGAATAGCAATAATATGGACTTTGAGTGAGATAAAAAGGGGTTTAACATAATTTTTTCTAAAGATTTTCTTTTAAAGCACTTGCTGTGTGTCGAACCCGATACCTTCCAGTTACCAGGCAATTGCCTATCCACTATAGACTAATGTGTCACACTGCCAATCTCTATGTATTTTTTCATATTGATACTTATCATGTAGATATAGCAAAAGACGTTTTTCTTTTTCAAAGATTAAAAAAAAAACACTAGCTGGGTGTCGAACCCGATACCTTACAGTTACCAGGCAATTGCCTATCCACTAGACTAAATGCGTCACACTGCCAATCTCTATGTATTTTTTCATATTGATACTTATTGTTGTAGATGTAGCAAAAGATGTATTCTAACGACTAAGTAATTCAAAAAGTCGCTCTTAAAAAAAAAGAAGAAAAGAGTATCACATGTTATTTAATCCTTTGTTTAGAAGGTGGGGGGGGGTGTCCCCTTTAAAAAAGAGATGGAAAGTCAATATCATGGGGTGAAGAAAAAAAAAAAAAAAAAAATAAAGGAGAAGCTGGGAGTCGAACCGGATACATTGCATTGTGATGCGATCAGTCTTATCCACAAGACCACGTTGCCTCAGTTCTATTCTCTGGTTCGTTTGTTGTTGTTAACACTTTCTGCATGTTAATGACTTTACAAAATATGCCGATTTACTGATTTCACGCTTTCGGGAGGCATATATATTATTATTTTTGTAGTCCGATGTTGTCAAGATTGCCCCTAATTTTTTTCTTTCAGTTACTGATATTACTGATATATTAGGGAGGTTTTATGTTATTTTCATTTATTCTGCAAACTACTGACTTTAACTTAAAGTGATATGACAATAGGTTACTGCCCTGACATAATGAAAAGAACACGGGTCTATTCAATTTAGTATACGCTACGAATTCTATAAAAGGGCACCAATGAATAAAGGAAGCTTGGCTTTTCAATAGCTTGCACCTGCAATTTTTGAATAGTTACGTAACAAACTATACTCAGCTCTTTCAGACATGGCATCAATTAATGAATTGAAGAAAAAAAATCCGACCCTCCCTTCATTGAGCGAATACTTTTGGCAAGTACGTGGATTACCAAAGAGGTAATAATAGCATTCCTGACATTGCAACAATGACAGCATTATTTTAAAGTATTGTCCCTAAAGGTAGCCTGCTGAATAAGCTATTTATCCTTGTCTGGGAGGACAAGGCCTTTCAATATCCCCATGCATAAGAAAAGAATAGGCTGGGGCTGTAGTCTGATTTCAAGAAAGGAAAACAATTTCGGGACAGTTCAAAATAATGCTGGGAAATGGAAATTCAAATGATACCGTTTTAAAAACCAGTAATTAGATATGATTTTAGGACAAGAATCAGAAGATAATTCATTGCTCGACAGTCTAATTGATTGTATTTAAAACAGAGTATCTAATATACCTGATATGTAATAGTACACTGTCAATTAAAACAAATAACTAAATAAACAAACAAATATAGACCTCTTGACCCAAGACTGTGGGTTTTTATTGTTGAGCACTATTTAATTTTGCTCGGGTATACAGGCAAGGTGGGGTGAATGCTTTCAAATGTAAAAGGCCCTTTGTCTCACCTCGTGCAAGATTAGGGCGCTTTTATTAAATTTATAGGAGGAGTAAAACACCGTTCATTGCATGCATGCTACAAATAAGTTGTATACAGACTGGAAAAGGATAGTACGGGACAGTAGAGAGTGATTTAAACGAGGAAATTAGGATTGAAAATGTAAAAAAAACCTTGTTGACCTGGCAATAAGAGCTAGGCTCTTGAATCTTGTTTTAAAAATGGACATGGCTCTGTGGCTACCGCCAGCTAGCTGACGAGCTACCCCCCCCCCCCCCAAAAAAAAAAAATAAAAAATAAAATAAAATAATAATAATAATTTAAAAAAAATAATTAAAAAAAATTGTATCAATCAATTAAAAGAATAGCAATAAATATGGAATTTGAGTGAGATAAAAAGGGGTTTAACATAATTTTTTCTATTACAAAGATTTTCTTTTAAAGCACTTGCTGTGTGTCGAACCCGATACCTTCCAGTTACCAGGCAATTGCCTATCCACTATAGACTAATGTGTCACACTGCCAATCTCTATGTATTTTTTCATATTGATACTTATCGTGTAGATGTAGCAAAAGACGTTTTTCTTTTTCAAAGATTAAAAAAAAAAACACTAGCTGACGACCACCAGCTACCCCCCCCCCCCTGAAAAAAATAAATAAATAAATAAAATAATAATAATAATTTTAAAAAAATAATTAAAAAAAATTGTATCAATCAATTAAAGAATAGCAATAAATATGGACTTTGAGTGAGATAAAAAGGGGTTTAACATAATTTTTTCTATTACAAAGATTTTCTTTTAAAGCACTTGCTGTGTGTCGAACCCGATACCTTCCAGTTACCAGGCAATTGCCTATCCACTATAGACTAATGTGTCACACTGCCAATCTCTATGTATTTTTTCATATTGATACTTATCGTGTAGATGTAGCAAAAGACGTTTTTCTTTTTCAAAGATTAAAAAAAAAAAACACTAGCTGGGTGTCGAACCCGATACCTTACAGTTACCAGGCAATTGCCTATCCACTAGACTAAATGCGTCACACTGCCAATCTCTATGTATTTTTTCATATTGATACTTATTGTTGTAGATGTAGCAAAAGATGTATTCTAACGACTAAGTAATTCAAAAAGTCGCTCTTAAAAAAAAAAAAAAAAAGAGTATCACATGTTATTTAATCCTTTGTTTAGAAGGTGGGGGGGGGGGGTCCCCTTTAAAAAGAGATGGAAAGTCAATATCATGGGGTGAAGAAAAAAAATAAAAAAAAAAATAAAGGAGAAGCTGGGAGTCGAACCGGATACATTGCATTGTGATGCGATCAGTCTTATCCACAAGACCACGTTGCCTCAGTTCTATTCTCTGGTTCGTTTGTTGTTGTTAACACTTTCTGCATGTTAATGACTTTACAAAATATGCCGATTTACTGATTTCACGCTTTCGGGAGGCATATATATTATTATTTTTGTAGTCCGATGTTGTCAAGATTGCCCCTAATTTTTTTCTTTCAGTTACTGATATTACTGATATATTAGGGAGGTTTTATGTTATTTTCATTTATTCTGCAAACTACTGACTTTAACTTAAAGTGATATGACAATAGGTTACTGCCCTGACATAATGAATAGAACACGGGTCTATTCAGTTCAGTTCAGTTCAGTATTTATTTAATTCCATAGTAAAAAAAAACAAAAACGATGACATCAAAATATTACTTTTACATAAATATGATTAACATAGTACAATATTGACAGTAAAAACAAACAAATAGGAATTAGGTTGCTGTATAAAAACCCTAGAGGGTTTTGTCTGGACAGCCACCTGAAAAAAAACAGTATTCAATTTAGTATACGCTACGAATTCTATAAAAGGGCACCAATGAATAAAGGAGCTTGGCTTTTCAATAGCTTGCACCTGTAATTTTTGAATAGTTACGTAACAAACTATACTCAGCTCTTTCAGACATGGCATCAATAAATGAATTGAAGAAAAAAAATCCGACCCTCCCTTCATTGAGCGAATACTTTTGGCAAATACGTGGATTACCAAAGAGGTAATAATAGCATTCCTGACATTGCAACAATGACAGAATTATTTTAAAGTATTGTCCCTAAAGGTAGCCTGCTGAATAAGCTATTTATCCTTGTCTGGGAGGACAAGGCCTTTCAATATCCCCATGCATTTTTTTTTTTTTAAGTACATAATAGAAAGAGCTATGTTACTCATAGAAACCGATTTATCACATCCACAGGAAATCATGACACTACTTAAACTTTCAGAAATAGTTAAACAAAAAGCAATAGTTCGCTTCGTTTTAAGAACAAAGCGGCTGTATCAAAACCATTAAATTGTTTATGTTTTGTTTTGTTTTTGTTTTTTGTTTTTTCTTCTTATCTTCTCTTTCCTTTTTCTTGCACCAATAAAGCCCACAATACTTGTAACTAATTTGACCATTTACTTTTTCTAACAATTCGGTGATCACCTCCAACATCACATGCTAGCTGGCACCCCCTCACCTACAGGCGCGGATCCAGGATTTCTTAGGGGGGGGGGCCCAAATGTGAAATTATGCGAGCCAAATATTGGTACGTAATGGTGACCAGCAGTGACGTAATGCGGGGAGGGGGGGTGGGTACAGGGAGGGGCGAGTTCCCCCTCCCTCTTGACGTTTCATTGAATTATTAGAGAAAGAAGACGTTTCGTTATACCGTTTTCGAAAATAATCCTCGTCTAAATTCAGTTTTTCCCCGCCCGCGCAAAGCGCGGGAGCTTATACGATTCATTAAACCATTAGAGAAAAAGACGATTCGTCGTACAGTTCTCGACTCTAAATCCTCGTCTGAATTCAGGTTCCCCCCTCCCCCCACTCCGGCGCAAAGCGCGGAAGCTTTCGCGATTCATTAAACCATTAGAGAAAAAAAACGATTCGTCGTACAGTTCTCGACTCTAAATCCTCGTCTGAATTCAGGCCCCCCCCCCCCTCCCGCGCGAAGCTTTTAAGTTTCATTAAAAGCATTAGAGAAAGAAGACGATTCGTTGTACCGTTCTCGAAAATAATCCTCGTCTGAATTTAGTTTCCCCCTTCCAACTCCCGCGCGAAGCGCGGAAACTTTTACATTTCATTAAATCATTAGAGAAACAAGACGATTCGTATTAACTTTCTCGACTCTGAATCCTAGTCTGAATTTAGTTTTTCCCCTAACGCGCGAAGCGCGACATTTTTGACGGTTCATAAGATTATGAGAGAAAGAAGATGATTCGCTGTACCGTTCTCGACTCTTATTCCTTGTCTGAATTCAGTCCCCCCCCCCCCCTCCCCCAACTCCCGCGCAAAGCGCGGAAGCCTTCGCGATTCATTAAACCATTAGAGAAAAAAAACGATTCGTCGTACAGTTCTCGACTCTAAATCCTCGTCTGAATTCAGGCCCCCCCCCCCTCCCGCTCGAAGCTTTTAAGTTTCATTAAAAGCATTAGAGAAAGAAGACGATTCGTTGTACCGTTCTCGAAATAATCCTCGTCTGAATTTAGTTTCCCCCTTCCAACTCCCGCGCGAAGCGCGGAAACTTTTACATTTCATTAAATCATTAGAGAAACAAGACGATTCGTATTAACTTTCTCGACTCTGAATCCTAGTCTGAATTCAGTTTTCACCTAACGCGCGAAGCGCGGAATTTTTGACGTTTCATAAGATTATGAGAGAAAGAAGATGATTCGCTGTACCGTTCTCGACTCTTATTCCTTGTCTGAATTCAGTCCCCCCCCCCCACTCCCGCGCAAAGCGCGAAAGCTTTCGCGATTCATTAAACCATTAGAGAAAAAAACGATTCGTCGTACAGTTCTCGACTCTAAATCCTCGTCTGAATTCAGGCCCCCCCCCCTCCCGCGCGAAGCTTTTAAGTTTCATTAAAAGCATAAGAGAAAGAAGACGATTCGTTGTACCGTTCTCGAAAATAATCCTCGTCTGAATTTAGTTTCCCCCTTCCAACTCCCGCGCGAAGCGCGGAAGCTTTTAGGTTTTATTAAAATCATTAGAGAAAGAAGATGATCCGTTATACTGTTCTCGATAATAATCCTCGTCTGAATTCAGTCCCCCCCCCCCTCCCCTCCTGCGCGAAGCGCGGAAGCTTTGACGTTTTATTAAATCATTAGAGAAAGAAGACGATGCGTTGTACCGTTCTCTACTCTTAATTCTTGTCTGAATTTCAAAGATGTTCTTTGTCTGCTCCTTTTTATTCCTACGCCCTCTTTCTTTTCTCTCCTCTCTTTTCTATTTTGACGGCGATTTTCGGGGACCGCCCCCACAGCCCCCCCCCTGGCTACGCGCCTGCGGTCAGATAAACATATTTTGATAACTTGTCCGACCCCAGAAGCTCAGGGGCTATAAATAACGGTCAGATAAGCATTCAGGGGCCCGCCTTAGGGCCCCTGGTGGGGTCGAGGCGGTGGAGCCCCCGGAGACTCAGGAGTTTTAGACATTAAATTACCGTCAGATGAGCATCTAAGGGCCCGCCTTAGGGCCCTAGTTGGAATCCAGGGGCCAGCAGAGCCCCCGGAAGCTTGGCATTTAATCACGGTCAGATGAGCATATTTTAATGCCTCATTATTTTTTGACACTGGCAGTTAACTCTTTTTTCTTTCTTGCTCTCTTTTCTTTTCTTTTTTTCTTTAATATACCTTTTCAAAAAAAGTTGAGGGGGGGGGGGCTCGAGGCTCTCGATCCCCGCCATTCCTCGGGCCCTGACATGTAGGAATCTCAAGTATCACATTTCTTGCCTGGCTGTAAATTTAGGAATGTGTCACATAAAAACGTATAATTTACTAAAAAGTGAGGAAAAATCTCTGAAAATTATGTCATTTCAGCATTATTTTTAATCTACCATTATGGAATTAGAAATAAACCACGTTTAAATTTGATTTCCCACAAGCCCCCTACCCCCTATCAGTTCGCCAGTATCTCCCCTTTTTCTTTTTTCTTTCCCTTTCCTTCCTTCTCTCTTATTTTTGTGATGGGGGAGGGGGGCAACAGCCTGGGAGGCAAGGCCCTTTCGGCCCCCCGATCTTTTTCTTCCCCCTTTTCTTTTCTTCTTCCTCTTCTCTCTTTCCCTTTCTCTCCTCTTTCCTTTCCCTTCTTTTCCTTTCTTCTCTCTCTCTTTTTTTTTTTTTTTTTTTTGCGGGGGGGGGGGGGGCAAGGCACGCTCGGCCCCCCCCCCCCCCTGGATCTGCGCCTGCTCACCTATGCCGGAGTGACCTAGGTTAAAACCGAAAGTCTGCGAAATATACCTCAAAGACTGGTAAGATGGCATTTTGAAAAGGGTGGGGGTAAGTGCGAAGTACACATGTGCATACGTGAGGTGATATTTGAACGCGCACGTGCGCGTAAACACAAGTACGTACGTTTAGTTTTAGTGTATAGGCGTTTTTCATTCACAACTTGCTAGGCCGTCGTCTCTTTCCAAAATTATTAATTTATTGAAAAAAAGTTATTGAGTCTAAAAAGAAAAAAAGAGGAAGGAAAGAGGATGGAAAGAGAAAGAATCCTAAAAATAGTCATTTATGACATGAAATTGTACATATGTATATATATAGTCTATAAATAATTCATAAAATAGTGTGTGGCAAAAATAGTCAACTATGACTGATTGCCAAACAAAAACAAATCAAGAAGAAGAAGAAGAAGAAGCATAAGAAAAGAATAGGCTGGGGCTGTAGTCTAATTTCAAGAAAGGAAAACAATTTCGGGACAGTTCAAAATAATGCTGGGAAATGGAAATTCAAATGATACCGTTTTAAAACCAGTAACTAATTAGATATGATTTTAGGACAAGAATCAGAAGATAATTGCTCGACAGTCTCATTGATTTTTCCGTAGAGATCAGTGGACACACGCCCTTAAAACTAAAACAACAACATGGTTGTATTAATATAGAGTCTAGGACATAGAGATATATACTTAAAGGTAATACAAAGTTTTGGTATGGGGTCATGAATTTGGTTCAAATGAACATATTAGACGCATATGCGGTCTTACTATATTCAGTGATCGTTGTCGCTGTTGAAATCGAGTCTAAAGTTATGAAATTGTAAATAATATACTCTTCATGTTGTATAGCTCCCTCTCAAGGTCAAGTTGTAAATTAAGCTATAAAACAATATAAAACAATGTTTCTTGACTAAAATCTACCGATTAGTTGTTCCCGTTCGGAAATTATATATCACAACTACATATTTTGAGATTATCATGGTCGCAGCTACCATTGTATGGCCGTAGGCGCTATTTGAAATTTATCAATATTTACCGGGAGCACCGGTAAATTTTTATATTCAATTTTTCTCGAAAGCAGTAGTAGTTTAGCTGCTAAATTTTCTAGTGGTTATAAAACATCAACAGGGGCATCCAAATATATCAAAATTGTAAAGAATCACTCAGGCGCGGATCCAGGGGGGGGGGCCGAGCGGGCCTTGGCCCCCCCCCCCCCCACACACACACACACACACAAAAAAAAAAGAGAGAAGAAAGGAAAAGAAGTGAAAGGGAAAGAGGAGAGAAAGGGAAAGAAAGAAGAAGAAGAAGAAAAGAAAAGGGGAAGAAGGAAATCGGGGGGGGGGGACCTAAAGGGCCTTGCCTCCCAGGCTGTTGACCCCCCCCCCCCCCCCCCCCCAATTAAAAAAATAGGAGAGAAGGAAGGAACGGGAACGAATAAAGGAAAAGAGGAGATACTGGCGTACTAATAGGGGGGGGGCTTTGGAGAAATCAAATTCAAACGTGGTTTATTTCTAATTCCACAACGGTGGATTACAAATAATGCTGAAATGACATAATTTCCCAGATTTGTCCTCATTTTTTAGTAAATTATACGTTTGTATATGACTTTTTGTGTTTGTTGGAAAATGACAAATTCCTAAATTTACAGCCAGGCACGAAATATGATTCTTGAGATTCCTACATGTCAGGGCCCGAGGTACGGCAGGGATCGGGAGCCTCGAGCTCCCCCCCCCCCCCCCCACTTTATTTGAAAAAGTATATTAAAGAGAAAAAAAATAGAATGAGAGCAAGAAAGAAAGAATAGTTAACTGCCAGTGTTAAAAAAATGAGGCATCAAAATATGCTCATCTGACCGTGATTAAATGCCTAAAACCCCTAAGCTTCCGGGGGCTCTGTCCCCTGGATTCCACCTAGGGTGCTACGGCCATTTGATGCTCATCTGACGGTAATTTAATGCCTAAATCCCCTCTTTTGGGGGGGATCCGCCCCCCCCCCCCCCCCCAAATAGTGACCTGCCAGTGTCACAAAATAATAGGTATTAAAAAAAAATATGATCATCTGACCTTAATTAAACGCCTAAACCCCTGAGCTTCCGGGGCCGGACAAGTTATCAAAATGTGTTTATCTGACCGCAGGCGCGTAGCCAGGGGGGGGGGGGGGGGGGGGGGGGGGTCCCCCCAAATCGGAAGAGGACGTAGGAAGTAAAAGGAGCAGACAAAGAACATCTTTGAAATTCAGACAAGGATTAAGAGTATAGAGAACGGTACAACGCATCGTCTTCTTTCTCTAATAATTTAATGAAACGTCAAAGCTTCGCGCAGGAGGGGAGGGGGGGGGGCTGAATTCAGACAAGGATTAAGACTCGAGAACGGTACAACGAATCGTCTTCTTTCTCTAATGATTTAATGAAACGTCAAAGCTTCCGCGCTTCGCGCAGGAGGGGGAGGGGGGCTGAATTTAGACAAGGATTAAGAGTCGAGAACTCTCCAATGAATCGTCTTCTTTCTCTAATAATTTAATGAAACGTAAAAGCTTCCGCGCTTCGCGCGGGAGGGGGGGGGGGACCTGAATTCAGACGAGGATTAAGAGTCGAGATCGGTACAACGAATCGTCTTCTTTCTTTAATAATCTAATGAAACGTCAAAGCTTCCGCGCTTCGCGCAGGAGGGGGAGGGGGGCTGAATTTAGACAAGGATTAAGAATCGAGAACGGTACAACGAATCGTCTTCTTTCTCTAATGATTTAATGAAACGTAAAAGCTTCCGCGCTTCGCGCGGGAGGGGGGGGGGGGCCTGAATTCAGACGAGGATTAAGAGTCGAGAACGGTACAACAAATCGTCTTCTTTCTGTAATGATTTAATGAAAAGCTTCCGCGCGAGGGGGGGGGCCTGAATTCAGACGAGGATTAAGAGTCGAGAACTCTATAACGAATCGTCTTCTTTCTCTCATAATCTTATGAAACTTAAAAGCTTCCGCGCTTCGCGCGGGAGGGGGGGGGGACCTGAATTCAGACGAGGATTAAGAGTCGAAAACTCTACAACGAATCGTAATCTTTCTTTAATAGTTAATGAAACGTCAAAGCTTCCGCGCTTCGCGCAGGAGGGGAGGGGGACTGAATTTAGACAAGGATTAAGAGTTGAGAACGGTACAACGAATCGTCTTTTTTCTCTAATGATTTAATGAAACTTAAAAGCTTCCGCGCTTCGCGCGGGAGGGGGGGGGGGACCTGAATTCAGACGAGGATTAAGAGTCGAGAACTCTACAACGAATCGTATTCTTTCTTTAATAGTTTAATGACACGTCAAAGCTTCCGCGCTTCGCGCAGGAGGGGAGGGGGGACTGAATTTAGACGAGGATTAAGAGTCAAGAACGGTACAACGAGTCGTCTTCTTTCTTTAATAATCTAATGAAACGTCAAAGCTTCCGCGCTTCGCGCAGGAGGGGGAGGGGGGCTGAATTTAGACAAGGATTAAGAGTCGAGAACTCTCCAATGAATCGTCTTCTTTCTCTAATAATTTAATAAAACGTAAAATTCGCGCGGAAGGGGAAAAACTAAATCGTCTTCTTTCTTTAATAGTTTAATGAAACGTCAAAGCTTCCGCGCTTCGCGCAGGAGGGGGAGGGGGGACTGAATTTAGACAAGGATTAAGAGTCGAGAACTCTACAACGAATCGTCTTCTTTCTCTAATAATTTAATAAATCGTAAAATTTTTCGCGCTTCGCGCGGGAGGGGAAAAACTAAATTCAGACGAGGATTAAGAGTCGAGAACGGTACAACGAATCGTCTTCTTTCTTTAATAATCTAATGAAACGTCAAAGCTTCCGCGCTTCGCGCAGGAGGGGGAGGGGGGCTGAATTTAGACAAGGATTAAGAGTCGAGAACTCTCCAATGAATCGTCTTCTTTCTCTAATAATTTAATGAAACGTAAAAGCTTCCGCGCTTCGCGCGGGAGGGGGGGGGGGGGGACCTGAATTCAGACGAGGATTAAGAGTCGAGAACGGTACAACGAATCGTCTTCTTTCTTTAATAATCTAATGAAACGTCAAAGCTTCCGCGCTTCGCGCAGCAGGGGGAGGGGGGCTGAATTTAGACAAGGATTAAGAGTCGAGAACTCTCCAATGAATCGTCTTCTTTCTCTAATAATTTAATGAAACGTAAAAGCTTCCGCGCTTCGCGCGGGAGGGGGGGGGACCTGAATTCAGACGAGGATTAAGAGTCGAGAACGGTACAACGAATCGTCTTCTTTCTTTAATAATCTAATGAAACGTCAAAGCTTCCGCGCTTCGCGCAGGAGAGGGAGGGGGGCTGAATTTAGACAAGGATTAAGAGTCGAGAACTCTCCAATGAATCGTCTTCTTTCTCTAATAATTTAATAAAAACGTAAAATTCGCGCGGAAGGGGAAAAACTAAATCGTCTTCTTTCTTTAATAGTTTAATGAAACGTCAAAGCTTCCGCGCTTCGCGCAGGAGGGGGAGGGGCAAAACTAAATTCAGACGAAGATTTTGAGTCGAGAACGGTACAACGAATCGTTTTCTTTCTCTAATAATTTAATGAAACGTCGAAGCTTCCGCGTTTCGTGGAGGAGGGTGGGGAAAACTCGCCCCTCCCTGCACCGACCCCCCCCCCCCCCCCGCATTACGTCACTGTTGGTTACAATTACGTACCAATATTTGGCTCGCATAATTTCAAATTTGGGCCCCCCCCCCCCCCCCCCTTAAGAAATCCTGGATCCGCGCCTGGAATCACTATCCACCCAATTTTCAAAATTTCCCAAAACTTTGTAGTACCTTTAATAGTGCAGACTCATATTTACGACTGACCAGGGTTTGTGGTTGCAGACTAGACTAGCATGCAGTGCTAGTGATGTGAACGGTAAAATTGTCATTGCGCTAAATTATGATGCAAGCGGCCGGATGAATGAATGGATCTTCTGAATCTCCTCCAGAAATTCACATTCACGAGTTCCAAATCATTGGTTTATGGTAAGTATGACGTGATAGTTATCTTAAGTTTCAAGAAACATATATTGATCAATCATTAACATTTAAAGTTATATATAAATCGTCATTAGAACTCTACTCGAAAATCGGAATTCGTTGGTTGCAAATTGCCACAGCTGCAGGAGGCAGACAGCCCCGGCCGGGCATGGCAGGGCCAGGGCCGGTGTCATAGGCGATTTGTTCCGTGCAGTACCGCCGATTT